TGTTGCAGTTGTTGTTGTTGTTGCTGTTGTTGTTGTTGTTGTTGATGCTGTTGTTGTTGCTGTTGTTGTTGTTGTTGTTGTTGTTGTTGTTCCTGCTTTCTAACCATGCAGATGGCAGATACAACCCAATTCTGAAGGCGCTTTGCCCTTCGTCTTTTCCTTAACCTCTTCACTGCTGTGACGACCGACGTATATACTTGCTTCAGTTTTTCACAATTTATTTTCAGACATTTTCTGTCACCGGTGCAACTAAATCTACATCTCGTTTAGTCTTTAGTTTGTTTGTTTTTTTGTAAGAGTTTTACAGCAATTGTAATACAATAAGATCATATAAATGCCCGAAGAGTAGAGGTGTTACAAGAGAGTAACGAACATCAATTAAAAAGGCGGAAGAGAGATCAGGACGATAGATGTTGGATAGGAAAGAAGGAGCAAAATACACTAGATCACTCGCCAACCACGTGCCTACAGCTTGTGCAGTTGTTCACTATTAATCAAATGGCAATACTCATGGCTTTGTTTATAGCTCTCTTGAATGGAAATTTTATCATGTCTGTACAAACGCGTAGAAGAGTCTCAGACATGAAGGGGTTAATGTTTTAATATTTCTTCCGACACATACATCAAGTGGATATTGTTAGGAAAAATGAACAAAATACAAAGTATTGAATAATTTTCTGTGCGTTTCGCTCCGCTATTTTAAACAGACGATATGTTCTGAACATATTTTTTTACAAATACGAAGAGAAAGATGCGGCTATAAGCACATATTGTGTGGTTGTTAACCACTCGAAATAAAAAAGATCGTTTTCAAGAAAAGAGCTCTTCAACCACTTCTCTATTATACTCCAAGGAGAAAAGGCAGAGCATTCAATTGATGCATTTCATCATGTGCACGTTTTTTACTTCATTTGTGTCTCGAGAGCTCTCTTTTTTGAGAAATGTGTATTTTGACATGACGTCACACCACTCAAAGCACGAATTTGATTTACACGCCATTGTAGGGGTAGGCCTATGCACAGAACGAGCGCCCAAGTTTTTTCGGCTAACTTTATCTTGATTTTCTCAAGGAAATATTCCCACTTAACATTGATTTAAAAGTAACGCTGTTTCACCGACATTTTCGGGGGGTGGGGAGG